GTGCTCCTCTCCTGCAGAGAACTTTGCAGGGCACATTGGAAGGGCTCGTTTATTTCGTCCAGCTCCCCTGCTAGACGGTGCGCCCCTCAGGCACAGTCACCTCATCCTTCCCCGCCCGCCTGTGGCATGTTACGCAGCAAAGGGTAGATACTTACCAAGAATGAAATGAATGAGCAGGACGACGCACCAAGATGAAACGCTCCCTTCACTGGTCCAGTTGCTGCCCCTCATTTTTGTTCCCTCTTCTGCTTTACCCTCAGAAATACCTCTGGGGGCATTATTTTGGGTGGGCCATCACAGAAGGGGTGGGTTTTCCTTTGGGATGCCTTGGCATTTCTGATTCACAGCTACACAGCCCGGCAAGATGGCCCACCAGCAGCTTTGCACCGGGGAGGCGGGCCACAGTCGCGTTATCCAGGGAGAGGTAGAAGGTGGACCTGGCCGGGAGGAAGGAAGAGGCAGGCTGCTCAGAGTCGCCGCTCATGGGCACACAGAGCCACTAGGGATGGCTTCGTGCTTCCCGCCCGGCCGGCTCAGCCCTTGCCCTGCCTGCCCTCTTGGGGGGTCAGGAGAGAATTGAAAGGGTCTATTCTCGTTTCCCCCTTCGATCCTAATCATTGCATATTTTTCACGTGGACTAGTTGCCACTTACGTACAGAGCGCCCATCGGGGGCCGGGGACACGGTTAAGCCCTTCACACACATCGCCCCGCTGAGCCCTTACGGCAGCCCTCTGAGCGAAGCACTGCTGTTATCCCTCTTTTACAGATAAGCTACAAACTGAGGCTCAGAGAGGGTCAGGGAATGTCCGAGGTCACACAGCTACTTAGGACGGCGTCTGGGCTACTGGGAACACTCTGTCAATGGTAGCTGTCAAGGATGTTATCACTATTATTCATCATAAGCAGTGGCTGATTGATGCCTTGGGCTCACAGAGGCCTGCCCAGGGGGCCACGAGACCCCCTGCCCCACTTTCTGCCTCTTCAAGACTTGGGAAGGTGGCTCCTTGGGTGGTGGGAAAAATGATACCATGTTTGTGTTTGGCTCCTTCTTGGTTCCCACAAATGCCCTGAACATTTTCCATTTTCTGAGCGCTTTTGTGAAACAGCTATGATGTGGTCGACAGTATTTGTAGTCGGAGCCAAGTCAAGCCTTCCTCTGGAGGAGAGCTGGAAACCTCTAAGGGTCTTGTCAGTTTTCACGTAGCCCACAGGCCCCTTCCCGGGGTCCCCCGAGGCTGAGGCTTTCCGGGCAGGCAGCAGCCGAGACAGTGCGCCCATTGATCCCCACGCCGTGTCTCCGGGTGGGGAAACCGACTCCATATCAGCCTGGCAGGGCCTTGCTGGGGCCTTTCTCCAGCAAGTCCTCTGCTGGAGCTTCTGATCTGCTCGTGATGCTCTTCGTGGTTTCGGAACTGCTACGGATGGCTCAAGATGATTTCCCCTCCTGTGTTTTCTGCAGTTTTGTTTTTTTTTTTTTTCCAGGATCCAGGAGAAACTTTGAAACTTAAAAATTATCCCCGTGCCAGGAATCCCCACAGCCTCCAGCTGAGGGGTAGATGAGCACCATATGCTGTTTACATAAAAATAAATGGCTTCCCCCCATGAAGCACATGGGTCTGAATCACTGGCTAACCCCTCTTTTACCTTAGCAGCTGGAGCAATGGCCCTCTGGATGAAGATGCGTCTGCAGAGAGCAGTTTGGCTCCAAAAAGCCCCAGTTTGTTTGTGCGAGAGCTGTCTCCTAGGGAGGCAGGTGGTGGGCAGGCCAGCAGCCCCGGTGGGACCAGCAGGAGTCAGGACCCAAAGGCCGACAGGTAGTGCTGGGGGATGACCTTCTGCCTCCCCAGGTGGACTTTCAGAGGGGTCCCCTCATCTAATGCCCCCCAACATCATGAGCTCTAGAGATGAGGGAGAAGGGGTCTCTTTTCTTGGACTTCAAACACCAAAGGACTTGACTTGGGCAATAGCTGTTCATTTATTCATTCATTGGTTCATTCATTCGTTCGTTCATTTGTCAAGGAATTATTGAGCACCTACTGCATGCACATCCTGATGTTGCACGAAGTCTAGCCTCAGCCTCCAGTCCCCAGTGATGACCCAACCAGGCCACTGGGCCCGAACTGAGAGTTTGGAAGTGAGGCAGGTGGAAACTCGCCAGCCTAGGCATAGTAAGTGAAGGCATCGGGTGCTGCATTTCAGTGGGGTGCCTTTCATTCACTCAACAAACAATCTGTGAGCGCCGACTGCCAGGCACTGTGCTAGACGCGTGGCTCATCAGAAGGGAGAATCCCAGCTCAAATCAAAGGGAATTTCAGATAACAGTAGCTAACTTTTTTTTGAGTGCTTGCTGTGTGTGCCAAAAACTATGCTGAGTGCTGTGCATGCCTTGTCTTTTTGAATCCTTATTCCAGAGCCGGCAAGATGGGGAAACTAAGGCTCAGAGATCTTACCGACTTGCTCGAGGCCACCTAGCCAAAAAGTGGCAGAAGGAAGCTTGAAAAATCCAAGTGAGTCCAAAGGCCTGGGGCTGTTTTGTGTGCATTCCTGCCTACTGTAGAGGTCAGTCCACGGTAGCCCGGAGTCCAGATCTGGCCCACTGCCTGTGTTTATGCTGCTGAGAGCTAAGCATGGCTTTTACGTTTTTAAATGGTTAAAAGAATCAAAAGAATAAGCTTCTCTGAAGTGAAAATTACATGAGATTCAAATTTCAATGTCGATCAATAAAGTTCTATTGAGACACAGCCACACCCATTCGGTTACACATGGTGGAAGGCTTTTCCTCGGCAACAGTGGAGTCGAGGAGTCATGACAGAGACCTTATGGCCCACAAAGTCGAAAATGCTATCTAGCTCTTCACAGGAAGAGTTTGCCAAACCGCCTTCCCCATCACCTTGCAGGTCACTGGCAGAAAAAAAAAAAAAGCAGGTCTCAGCCCATGTCTGAGCTCAGGTGGTTTCCAGAGCCCTGTCCTCCTCTCCCAGCCTCTTCCTCAGCCACTCGCAGAGAGCTCCAGGGAGCCTCCAGCAAGCATCTCCATGATGGCTGCCTTTGGGATATTTTCAGCACTTCTCTCAAGAATCTTTGAGGCCTGAGATGTGTAGGGTGGTATTAGGTTTTTCCTCAAATGTTTAGATGAAAACGTAGACAGCACAGCGAGGAGTATTTGTGAACAAAGCTCCGAAAGCAATCCTGTTGGTCTTTGCCGAGAGGTGCCAAATTATCTCAGGCTCCACTGGGAGCTGCCTGCAGGACCTTATATGGGCATAATCTCCCAACCCGGGCTTGTCTCGCTCTGCAGCATGGTCAGATCCACTTTTAAGGTTATGTGTGACCATTTCTGGTCTTTCCATTTGCTCGGGCTGTGGGGGAATTCGCTTCTGCCACACTTGAAGGAAACACGAATGCTATCGACTCCGCGCCCGTCTTATTTGGACACAAAAGATGACAACTGACCTTTTTTTGGGCAGTCATCTCCCTTTATGTTTGTGGGTGAAGGGAAGCATCTTTGGAAGCACTGGAGTGGGGGAAATGCGGCTTCATGATCCTAGTTGTTTCCTGGGCTGCACGGGACTGAAGAGATGTTGGTAAAGAGAACATTCACAGTATGCCCACAGGCAGTGGGTACTGTGTGAGGCCTTCCAGGTGGGTTATACTCAGACCTCACTGCATTCATTCATGCATCCCACAGCCAGCTACTGAATGCCACCTGACGAGCCAGGCGCTGTGCTAGGCCAAGGCCGACACAGTGAGTAAGGTGGACGGCCCCTATCCTCATGGAGCTAACCCACCAGTAGGAGAAGCAAATCACAAACAAGTCAAGACACATTACCAATCATTACAGATGGTGTTGAGGGGGACAAAGCAAAAGAACCGTGGGCCAGGACAGAGCCATGGGGAGACGTACCCGTGACTGGGGAGTCAGGGACAGCCTCTCGCAAGAGGAGGCCCTGAAGATGAGCCCCTGGAGCATAATAAGGAGCTGGCTGAGAGACTCCCAGGAGTAGGACTGAAAGTCTTGGTGTATAGGAGTTCAGTTAAGAAAGTTAACGGAAGGGACGCCTGGGTGGCACGGTCCGGTCCGTTGAGCATCCAACTCTTGGTTTCAGCTCAGGTCAGGATCTCATGGTTGTGAGATCAAGCCCCATGCCGGGCTCCGAGCTCAGCACAGAATCTGCTTGAGACTCTCTCTCTCCTTCTGCCCGCCCCCCATGCTCTCTCTCTCTTTCTGAGATAAATAAATCTTTTTTTTTTTTTTTAAAGATTTTATTCATTTATTTGACACAGAGAGAGAGAGAACAAGTAGGCAGAGAGGCAGGCAGAGGGAGAGGGAGAAGCAGGCTTCCCGCTGAGCAGGGAGCCCGATGCGGGGCTCGATCCCAGGACCCCGGGATCATGACCTGAGCCGAAGGCAGCGGCTTAACCGACTGAGCCACCCAGGCGCTCCTGAGATAAATAAATAAATCTTAAAAAAAAAAAAAAAAAAGAAAGAAAGTTACTGGAAGAACTATGCCGGTGACTCCGTTGACGGGAGCTTCGGGCTGAGGAACCCAGGGTTGTGTTCTAGAAACCTTAACCTGGAGCCCTAACTCAGGCTAGCCCTGGAAAACACAGCTTTGGTTCAAAAGAGAACAGCTGGGCAAGTAAGGTGTCTCCACGATTGGGCATCCACGTCCACAGAGGTTCCTGGAGTTCTTCCCGAGCGCTAGCGCGCTCCCTGCCCTGGGGATCCAGAGACGAATCGGACCGCAAGGAGCTCACGCTTTACTGGAAGAAATCAGCCAGATGAGCAAATAAATAAATGACCGGAGAGTGTGGTAAATACAACAGGAGAACCATGTGTAAGAGCCCAGAGTAGCCCAGAAGAGGGGGTGCTGAACACATTTGGGAGGGGCAGGGAACAGCTAAAGGAGGCTGTGTTTTGGAGCTTGGAGTACAAGGCAGAGAGCGGTGGGCACCGAGGTTTCCGCAGGGGCAGGTCACAGGAAGGCTTTGCGGAGAAATGTTCCGGATTTGAGCTGCACTAAAGGTATGTAAACAGCAGAAACGGATCTCCCCGTTGATCTGCCTCGATTAATGCCGCTCTTGTTACCTAATCCCGCTGGTTTAGACTCTGTTTTCTAGGAAGCTATGGCATTTCAAAGAAACTGCCTGATCCTTTTCTAGACAAATGTCATGCTTTGGGATGTAGCTTTTCCCCCCTAAGTACTTTATACTTTTCTTACAACTTCTCAAAGCATCTACCATATGGTGTCTCTCCCAAGTGAGAGATGATTACCCCTTTATTTGGGGGGAGCTGAAATGAAGTCATCTGTCCACTAGAGAGACAGTGGCAAGCAGAGAGGTGCTCTCCTGCCATCTGAGCCTGGCCCGGCGCGCCTCCTCCGCGGAAGTGACTATCCCCCAGCGCAGCCACCCCTTGCTGCCTTCCCTCTGTCCTGGCTTCCCATTATGTAAGAGCGTTTTTGCAGAGATGAGCTCTGGGCTTGTTCTGAATATTTTAGGTGTCAAACATCCTGTTTTTCTGAGTAATGTGACCCTGTCGATGACCCACTGCATTGCAGAATGACATCATGGGATTGAACTGAGAACGGTTGAAGAGAAGTGATTATGGGAGCCTTGGGACCAAGCCTGTCCCTTTACCTTTCAGCAAGTTGTTTGGAGACGTTCACCAAGAAGTCTGCAAATGAATGTTCGCTTTGCAGAGAGCAGAGGTCGCCAGCTACGGCTTGCGGACCAAATGCAGCCCACAGAGCAAAGCTGGTCCCGCTGTTTTTGCAAATAAAGTTTTATTGGCACACAGCCATGCTCGTTGGTTTGCACACCGTGGCTGCCAAGTTTGCCAAGCCCCCCCAGCCCCGGAAGAGAGCTTGTGAATTTAGTGGTATCCCCCCGTTCCCTTCCCCTCCTCCCAAAACACACGGCACGCAAACAAAGAGAGATTGATTTTTAACAAGCGTATCAAAGCTTTCATATTTATTCAATGACATCAGAACTTTTACATTTAGCAAATGAGCGTTGTCCTTCCAAGAAGTTCCCCTGGGGGATTGCACACTTATTCCAATGCTGCCGCCAGCCCTGGACATCTCGGGGGCGGGGGGGGCTACTCCTCAGAGCCCAGTTCTGTGACACCTGAGAAAATCCCCTTCACCTTTTTTGGACCCAAAGTAGTGCGGCCTTGTTGGAACATCGGCCGGCCTCGTGGCCGTGGGATCAGATGCTGGCCAATGAAAAACAAACAAACAAACCAATCAATGTAGCCCTCAGGCTAGCTCAAGGAATTGGCCGCAGGTTCTGAATGGAGTTCCCTCAAAAGCATTCCGCAGATTTCTTCAGGAAAAGAAAAAAAAAAGAGGTCAGCCTCACCCAAGGGATTGGGAGTCAGAGTTCTATTCCAGAAACACCTTTTGGGATTTGGGGGTGTGTTTTCAGCATTTGGGCCATGTGATTTCTCACCGGGGGCTTTCTGTCCCTCTTCAGGGACTGCTGTGGGCAGGCCAGGGTTGCTGGGGAAGGTGTCAGCATTTGGGGGTCACTCCTGTCTCCTGGACTGGACCGCCTGCTGTGTGCTCTGGATTGTAGAGGGGTGGGGGGCTCTGGAGTTGGATGGTTTCTGAAAACCACGACATGCCTGCTTTCTGCTCCCCATTTCTGCTTTCTCCTCTTCCCGAAGCTCGTTCTGCGATGGGGATAGCGCGCGGCCAGCCCTTGAAGCAAAAAGATAACCAGCTCAGCAAGTTGCGTTTCGGTGTGTTCTTTCTTTTTCTTTCTTTCTTCTTTTTTTCCCCCAAGAGCCACTGCCTCCCACACAAAACGTCTGCATTTCCTGAGCTCACAGTGGCTTCGCTGATTTCTGCTCAGCTACATCTCAGACGCAGGCCCGGGGTGGGGTGGGGGAGTTACTCAGATCCGCGTTCGTGCTTATACTTGCCATGAGCTGGCGTGGAGAAGTACGATCGAGTGGGTTACTGAGAGGCGAGGAGGATTAGGACTGGAGCCCTGAGTGTAAATTCCTCCCCAGGGCTCCTGGGTTCGCGCCCCACCCTGGCTCTGAGGGGGTGAGGCCGGCGCTCTCCAACCCACTCTCAGTTCCCGAGGAATGGAGATCTAACAGGGAGAGATTTCGGATGGGAGGCTCTGGTGCTCTTCTGAGATTTTCTTGCTCCAGGGAGCCGAATTTAAACTTGAGCTGTTATCTCTAGCCCTGGGTGAGGGGTGGGGCCTGGGCCTCGGGTTCGGGAGCCCCAAGGACACGGGGAGCCTCTGACCACTCACCAGAGGCCACGCAGGGGGGAATGCGGTGAGGCCGCGCAGGGGGGAATGCTGGCCACACCGTCTGGGCGCCCGCACCGCGAGATTCTGCATTAACATGTACGTCTTTCCCAAGTATGTCGATCTGGCCCTCCTAGACTCTTTCGGGGGTAGGAATGATGTCTTCTGCTGTTCGGGCAGCACCACACAGGGTCTCTTGAATGAGGGGCACATGAAGGGCCGAACTGTCCACAGTGGTGTGGGAAATAGCGAGCAAATGGGACTCTGGGCGTTGGGTTTTACCCTTGGAGTGGAGTGTCCACTCTGCTGGTACTTAATAATCAAGAGGCCTTTGGTGTGAATCCTCTGAGTGTTGAATCCCACAGGATTTCCATCCATCAGGCAGCATTTGAGGGAACTTGTGCTTTGTTCATAAAAAGCCTGGCGTAAAAAGTCTGGTCCTTGGGAGATGTCCAAACTGGCATGGCTCTCCAGCTAAGGAAAAGGTGGAAGAGAGGCTTCTTGCAAGAGAGCTCTTTACTTTGCAGTTTCGACAAAAGAAAGGGGGTGGCTTCAGAAATGTTTGCTGGAAAGCTCAGAACCTCAATTTTGATGCCGAGCAAGGGAGAAGTGATGTTGGCCACGGGCCTCGTTTGGGCTCCCTTCTTAGTATTCACAGGAGTGAAGAGCTCCATTTAGTAGGTTGGACACGTTCCTGTGGGCAGAATTTCTGGAGGTGGAATGATGACTTTCTCTTCCTGCTGGTAGGGGTGGG